ATCAGGTGTCGGGGAATGCATAGCCCGTTTGGCTGCAGTCTGCATGAGTAATCGAAGCAGCCGAATTTTGCAAACTCTGACCTTTTGACAGGAAGGGACGCCATTACAAGTAGTATGGTGTCTCTGGACTGCTTGGGGTATCCCTGAGGATTTCTAGAAAAATATGAATAACCACATCTACAACAGCAGGCTCGGGTGTATCGATGGTGGATAAGTCCATATTTTTTCAGTCAATTAAAGGTCACACGTATGCAGTTTTATCGCCAGCTGCTTTCGAAGCTGCACGGTTTGCATGCAGAAGTGGGTGTTCTACATTTACAGCTTACTCCAGAAGATGATCACAGAAATGTGTGATTAAAACGCGCGTGGCTAGTTGGTTCACCCTTATAAGAGGTCAGCCTTTTATGCTTTTAATTGTACAGTTAAGGTGAGGGTTCTACCTCCTTTCTTGAAGTTTGAATCCTAAAATTTAGTCGTAGTTACGACTGTAGAGGTTGAAGCTTTCAGTCACATTTTCAGCACATTTAAATGCTTCTGTGGTCAAAATGGCAGCTTATGTCTTGTTTGGCTCTGCGAGTATATTGCCCTGATTTTACCAGAAAGTGTTCAGTTTGTTTAAAAAAGAATACCACGCGATACATTCTCCTTCCCGAACTAAATTTCAGGTAGAAGACTCGTGGAAGACCACCGAATTCATCGTGTTACCCTTCAAAGACAGCAAGGATGTCTTCATTCTTGGCGGTACTGACGAAATTCAGCAGCTTTGGGATGACTCCAACATCAACATTTCAACCATTGCGTCATCTCGTCATGTTGGACCTATAAAGCCGAAGGTGGATGAGTGGGTCAACAAGCTGCAGCTATTCGGTGACACGCTGGTAAGATGCTGTTATGATTTATTCGAGTTGAAGAAAACGGTTTTTCCTCCTTTTTAACACTTTACGTTGAGCCCCAATGCATGATAATCCACGTAGCCAATCCAGAGAAAGAAGCATTTTTTCAGTTAGGTACCTATGGACTTTGTGGCTTCTGTGAGCCTTTTAATTCAGAAAAGATCATTCTAAATCGTCAACGTAAGACAGTCAATATATTAAATATCGTTTTCGCACTGGCCCCATATCTTCCATTAGGATACTACTAACTTTACTTTTGCAAATATACAAGTGAGGAATGACACAGGCACCTCAGTTGTCACTAATCGTTTTCGTGGGTTACTGAGCAAGGCGGGCATAATCCATGTTGGCCAAAGTAACGGCACAGCAGTAAGGAACGCTATATATGAGCATAGTTGAGAGTTGGATATGTACAGGGCAGCCATCTCCACCATTAAATGGGTTTTGCGACGTGTACACACAATTAGAAGATTTTACGCCCATTTGGTTGACAATCACATTTTGACGTGTAAATGGTCGAACCTCGTTGAGATCCCCGATGGGAGAGGCATGCAACTCCATTGCACCCACCCTAATATCTCGTTCGTAAGTCCAAGCTACCCACTTAAAATAAGTAGTAAGGGTATCAGCAAAATAACAAGAGCGTGGTTCTTAGATTGATCCCACTGTCACCTCTGTTTTACAGGAAGAGTGGATGAACTGCCAGCGTGGCTGGATGTACTTGGAGAGCATATTCTCCGCACCGGATATTCAGCGGCAGCTGCCCAGTGAGGCAAAGAGCTTCATGGCCCTTGACAAGTCCTTCAAGGACGTCATGCGCAAGGTGCAAAAAGTTCCTCTGGCAATGCGTGCTGCCACGCAGCCCGGTCTCCTGGACACCTTCCGCAACAACAACCAACTGCTGGAACAGATTCAAAAGTGCCTGGAGGCCTACCTCGAGTCCAAGCGGGCGGTCTTCCCCCGATTCTACTTCCTCTCCAATGATGAACTGCTCTCCATCTTGGCACAAACGCGTAACCCCCTGGCTGTGCAACCACACCTGCAGAAGTGCTTTGATGCCATCAGCAAGCTTGACTTTGCGCTCAATCCTGAATACGTTGAGGGTTCAGGCGGTAAGGGTGGGGCTGGGCTTTGTTTGGCGTGGTGTTTGAGGACTTTCATTATGAAAGCTGCCATAAAATTATCGACTTTGATTTTTGAGTGTCTCCTTTCCTGCCTTTCCCATTCTTCCAGAACCACGCTTCACCAACGACATTTTGGCAATGATGTCTCCGGAGGGTGAGCGCGTGTCTCTCGGAAAGGTATGTCTACATGTTTTATATTTGCCTTGCACGTATGTAATCGCTCAAAGAGGTTTTGTTTTTTCCCCTCTGATAGCAGCCATCGTTCGCATTACCGTTCTAGACTGAAGTATGTGTGGGATACGATGTGGTCCAGCCAGATAATAGACGAGAGAACGTATCCC